AGAGTCCCCATATGCTTAGAAAGGAATCTGAATATATGTGCCTTTTTTAAAGCTGCATCATAACTAGGTTATTCCATCAATACAGTGGAATGACTGGGAGCTGCAGTTGGAACAATATGTAAAAATACAGCTTGTAAAAGATTTCCTTTATTAACTGTCATCATCCACAGAATATATGTTCAAATAAACGTTGTGTAATAACTAAATTTGAGATTAATAGGCCCCTTAAGAAACAGCGAAGTCATTCAGGATAGTCAGTGAAAAATAGCCTGTAAGACTGTAACATGCACATATTGTCCTGCTTACATGCTCTCTCTGGTGTCATTCCCATTTATCAATGTCGGCAGGCTCTGTTCTCATTAAAACACTCTTGCACAAAAGCAACTTAATTTTCTTAAGAGAAGAGGACACCTGATTCAATTTAGTACTCGAAACCAGGAACTTGAATATATATATATATATTTCCCTGTCTGAACTCAGATGAATAGTTATGAACAGCAACACAGATTAAACCTTATTAGGTATATTTATATTCTGTTTGCAGTAACAGTGCTGTGGCAAATAGCTTTCTACAGAGCTGTAACATCTTATTATTGGAAACAGCAGTTAAGACATGAGCTGTGGTAACACTCACATGAGATTTTATTTTTAAATAGGAGATTGAAGGAGTTGTTTAAAGGGACTCTGCCAACTCATTCAAGCTACTGCTGATGTCCTGCCTTCTTCTTCCACCTTCTTGAACTACACTGATCTCTTTGGGTAGATAAAATTTCTGTTTCTGTACTGTTCAGTCAAACCATTTCCATCATTTTCTTAGGTTTGTTTTTGCTTTTCTTTCTTGCTTTTCTTTCTTGCCTTTCTTTCTTGCCTTTCTTTCTTGCCTTTCTTTCTTGCCTTTCTTTCTTGCCTTTCTTTCTTGCCTTTCTTTCTTGCCTTTCTTTCTTGCCTTTCTTTCTTGCCTTTCTTTCTTGCCTTTCTTTCTTGCCTTTCTTTCTTGCCTTTCTTTCTTGCCTTTCTTTCTTGCCTTTCTTTCTTGCCTTTCTTTCTTGCCTTTCTTTCTTGCCTTTCTTTCTTGCCTTTCTTTCTTCTCCCTGTCAAATATGAGAAGTAGTTGCATTAAATTTTACAATAATTAGCTTCATTACTCTGCCTCTTTGGCCTTGGCCCTGAAATAACCTTTCCACAGAGCAGGGACCATTCAGGGCCAGATAGACCATACTGTCCATAGCATGTGCTCCCCCAACCATGGGGTTCCTGGGGGGAAGTGTAGGGACAGTTGTCTCCCTAAAGGCTGCCAGGTGACACTCTAGAACCAAATGTTTTAGTGGTAAAACAATATATACATATTGGCAAAAAAGTCTTTTACTTCTTTTAATATGGTCCACATACAAAGCTATGAGGGAGGCACTGTTGTTTCTCTATACTCTGCAGCAGAGGAAATTCCAGTTGAGTATCAACTCAACAATTTCATTCGAATCCTGCTGATAATGATAAAATGTTGGGGTTTGACCCAGGTATTCCAAATGCTGCCAGTGTATATTTTCTTTAAAGTAGTCAGGCTGCATTATTATCAAAAGATATTCTAGTCTAATAAATTCCAAGATACTTTAGTTTGATACTAAAATAAAAGGCAAAGAAACAGATTTCAGAATGTATTCTGTATTTAATGCTATCAAAACCTAGACATGCTTGTTTGATTTGCTGTCCAGTCACATGTGTGTACTTCTGCTGCATTTGGGTACACAGCTGAGGGGAAGTGCTCAGCCTCTTGGTTGTGGCTTTGCCTTTTTTTCATCTCTTCCTGACCGTTGTTGCTGTGGGGACCGTCTTGGATCTTTTTGCTGTCACTGTTACAAATCTTAACAGTGTTTTCCATACATATGCATTCCAGGATAAGATGAGCGAGAGGGCTGAAGCTTTGTGTTAGACTTGGGTGTGAGAGAAGGAAAGTTGCTGCCAAGTACTGCCAGATAAGTGTCCTTCATAGGTGGCCTGGTCACTTCCTACTTGGAAGTGCTCCAGGAAGTGACAGCCAGTCCTTTCTGGAAATAGGCACCATGAGAATGTGTGGGTGGCACTGGGCTTGAGAAAACAGAGTTGACTGAAATTGTACCTGCCTAATGATAAGTAAGTTTGTTGTTTAGTGGAGCTAGCTGTGTACTACTGTAAGCTCAAGTGGGGCTGTACATGCTCTTCTGCACTTGCCCTGTTAGGAATACTGGCACTGACTCCCAACCACGCCTCTGAGTTGATAAAAGCTTGAATAATTTGTCGAGTTATTAGTACTGCTGCTTTTGAATGCGATCTGACCTTACATTTCAATACGTGGCTGTGCATTTACCTTTTGAAAGGATCTTGCTATTGATTTTGTAAAGAACTCTCCCTCTTATTAGCGGTAATTGCAGTAAATGGTTTGCAAACATATGCAAATCTGAACTTGGAGTATTCTAAAGACATGTAAATGTTTTCATGTTTCATTTAAGCAGACTGCAGATAACCTGATATCTGTTGAAGCACAAAAAGAGCAAACACTAAAAAAAAAGTTATACAATAATAGTGACTAATAAATGTTTCAAATAGAAAATTAAGAGCTTGGCTGTATCATGTGTCAGCATTAATGTTTACTTGTATCATCCCTCTAAGGATTTTAGAGTGCTTTTTAAGGAGTGAATTAATTTTGACAATGCCCTGTGAGGTATGTATCCCTCTTGATAGAAGGGAGTTGGAAGCACAAAAGTGTTTAAATTCTACAGGGTCATGCTACTAGGTATGTTTAATTACAAATTGGAGCAGTTGATTCAGTTTACTACCAGTTTGTTTAAGCTGAACCAGAATCACAGATATAAGCCCCAGGTTTGTGATTATGAGAAAAATTTACTTCTAAGTTTATTTTGCAGGGGAAATGTTCATAAAGAGAACTGCAGATTGAGTAAATGACATGTGTAAGTCCTCCCTCACTGAGCCAAATAAATGGCTATAGCTAATTTTGAAGTCTTCCTGATTTTTTTTTTCTTTTCTTTTGCCTGTAATGAGCACTTAATCATCTGCTATGGATAATTTCTGACACTTTAGAAAAAAGGAATTAGAAATTGCAAACTAGTTTACCCCCGAACCAGTCATGAACTTTTGCACATGACAGGCTGAATAACTGAAGCATAAAATTTGTCCAAGGTTGTTGTCTTAGTATGTGTTACATGCTTGAGAATACTTAAAAATTCCAGAAATATTCTAGATGGATCAGGAAGGAAGAAAGAAAAAGGTTGATGATGGCCAAAATATCACCATCTAGTATCACCACTGTAGAACCATCTAGTATCTCTCCTTAACACCTTTCCAGGTACAGAATTTCTCCTGGAAGTGGAATCGCAGCCTGTTTTAAGTAAAAAATGTCATCTCTCTAGATGTATCTCAAATCAGGATTGGTAGCCATGCTCTAGGTTTGTGTGGATGATTGTAATGTGTCTCTGCCTTGCTACATGAAAGTATCAGCTGCACAGCTTCAAATACAGGTAGAAAATCCTGATTTAATTCACACTTGTTGAAGAATTGTTGTTTAAACTACTCACTCTTCCTTAAAGCTATGATCTCTGGCAAGAGAAGCTGTTTGGACTTGTGCCTCTTTTTTTTATGTTCAAAAAAGAAATGCTGATGAGAAAGAAGTGTTAAAATATGTTGCTGTAGTTTACAACTGTCAGCTATGATGTTTTATTTAGCTGTACCTATTCAGATGCTCCCTCCGCAACATGGGGTGCCATATGCCATTGTCCCTGTCAGTAAGCAAGTCAGCAAAGGTTTCCCAGTCTGCATTTGTTTTTGTATTTGGGCCACTGAGGAGCCGTGGTCCAGTGCCATCTTTTATTGATAGGGCCAGCAGAGGAGGAATCTAATGAAATTATCAAAGCTTTGAATTAATTATGAACTTGAATAAGAAAGCTAAGCTCTCTAGAGCCAAGGATCTCATTACCCATTCATTTTCATTGCATCCTCTTATGGAGCAGAAGGCAGGTTCAGCTACGGCTCCTACCCTGATTTTGGACTTTATTCAAACTTGCTAAACTCACTAGCATCCACTTGTTATTAATCTGTGGCTGGAAGTGTCCAGGGTGATTAGTTTGACTCTGCTCTAAGTCGGCACGTAAATGGTACATTTCCCTCCTCCCTTTCCTCTTATCTTTGCTATGTGGCTTTTCATCATCAGACTGGCTGCCATACAAGAGTTTCTGTTCTTTCTTGGTAATTGGGGAAAGCTATGCAAGACTCAAGTTTTAACTTCCTGGAATTTAATGAATTCATATTAAGAAATAATACTGCTACCATATATTTCCTGGATATTTAGGTAAGCACAAACACTTATAAAGTCAGTATCAAAATTGTTTATTTTCTTATTTTAAAAGACTATGGTGTTAAAAAGTAGTGACATTTTGGCCTCAGAAATATGGGGTCATTGTGGTTGTGGGTTTTTTTGTTGGGTTTTTTGGTTTTTCTATTTTAAATTTGTCGGTCAAAGTACAAAAACTTCTCTATCTCTGTGAATACTTTCATGATGAACTATTAAATTAGTTTGTTTGCCTCATTAAGATTGTTAAAAGTGTATGAAAATGCAGCATTTTAGTTAAATCAGATTATGCTCATTTCAATTAATATGTCAATATATAAAAATGTTCCTGGCAAATTAGAGCAAAAGCAGTGAGACCAAGATTCTCTGTAATATCTTAGTTCTTGTGGGTATTTCTCTTCAGTCTGTCGGCAAGGATTTTCTTCTCCTCCTGCTTTTGTCCATTTCAGCACATTATTTATGAATGCATAAACTAGAACCTATCAGTCTTCATAAGTTACAGGCCACTGGCAATTTTTTAAGCAGTGGCTAACTGCCTAATGGTCTCTGTGTGTGTGTATTTGGAGAATCTGATAGCTTGTTGGGCTGGGGAATAACATTTTGTTCTTGTACTGTAGCTATTTTACCATTGGTGATATTTATCTTTTTTTTTTTTATTCTTCAGGCAGCTGCTATATTTAATTCCGCTTTTGGAAGTTTTTTGGTAAGTAATACAGTATTTACAGAAGTGCTTTAATAGTCTTATTTTTAACAGTATTATTGGTATGTTTGTATTTTTCTCACATGGTTGTTGGTGGAATTCTACCATTCAAATGGCAAAAAAAATTTGAAACATCTTTCAGTTTATGTCACCATGCCATTAAATACAGATATTACAATTTCTTTTCTTGAGAAAAGTAGTGAATAAATTGTCTCTGCTCATGGTAAATTAATAATGTGTAAACACATCTTAATTTTCTCCTTAATGGGTTAACAGTATCTATTATTATGCAGATGTTTCAGACATGGGCATCAATATATTGATTTTTCTAATAAGGCCCATCAAATACTCATTATTTTCTATCAAGAGGCCATGGATTTTGAAAAGAAAACATGACCCAGCTGATCAGAGAGTAGATGCTAATTTACTCAGTGACTTGTCATTTGTTTAGCATATTTTACTGTCAGTGGAGCTACTCAGTGTCTCTGAGGAACACACTAAAATAGCTGGATATGGGAAAGCAATCAATCCAGCTGGAAATATAACTGTTCCTTTAAAAAGCAAAAGCAGTATTTGCGGTCCTCATGGTCTACAAACATTTAGGAAGGACATTGTAAAGAACACTAAATGTATCTATGAAGAAAGAAAGAATAGATTTCTTTTATTGATGTGTTGTTTAGAGAGATACTCATGAATATTAAATAAAAAATTTTTTTATATGTTGGCAAGCTACTATGACTGATTTTTTAATTTATTTAGGCAGCTAATAATTGAATTTGTTCTTATTTACTAAAATTTACACGTTTAGAAGTGTCTGTTTGGGATTCCAGTCTTGTGTCCCCAGAAGGAGGATTGTGATGTATAAAATGAATAATGACAAAAGAATTCAAATTAGGAAATTAAAATCAAAACTGCAAGTACAAAATAACTATTTTTTTTTTTTTTATAAAAAGCTGGCATTTAGGATTTTAAGTATGAAAAGCTGTACTGCCAAGAGAGAAAGTCACGTGGTATTTTGAAGTTATTGTGCTGCTGCTTTTTTGAGGAACCAGGTTAAAGTTAGGAGGGTGGATGTAAGTTTTTTTTTGTATAGGTGACCATTCACATTTTTAAAATATCAATTCCCAAGTACTTGTCCTTTTTGTCACCTATAATCTCCTCCTCCAGTGGGAAGAAGGCTTTTTCTGCCTCAGACTGTGGAATCCCAGTGTTGGAGCAGCTCTTGAGTCTGTGTGTGTGCGTGATATTTTCCCTCGTTGCTTGGCATGAGCTCCAGTTTCTCTGCTGTCCTTGGCTTTCAGTTCAAGAGGTTTGCGGGAATACCCAAAGGCTCAGTTCAGCTGACATTAGGAGATGTCTTTTGACTTAAAAAAAAGAATTTAGGCTGCACTGCATCTGACTACAGTACTGGCTCCTAGTAAAGCAACAGAGATAGGTTTTTAATTTCAAGTACCTGTTTTTAGCTCTTTGAAGAAATCTCAGTGAAAGAAGCTGAGCTAGTTCATGTGTTCATGCAATACTTCTGATTTTGATCTTAGTTCACGATTATTGGAAAGTTCTGCTTACATGTAATTACCTCACTTCACTTTTCATTCACTTCATATATTTTTGGAAATCCTGGAGCAGCATTACAGTAAACATTCTTCTTAAAAAAATTTCCAGGCAAGACTTTTCAAAAATATGAAATATCAGATAGAATGAAACCACAGTACCGGCTGATCTTTTTGTAGTTACTGATTTTTTAAAAATAAAATTGTACAGACACTGGCCACCATTAAGTTACAAATATGTCTGCACACTTAAATGCTTGTTGTGGTATTCTAGTTTGAAATCATGGTTATGTAGGGAATATGTATTTATGACAGAAAACAGATCACAAATATGTTTACTGAAAGCTTTGTTCTTAGAAACTTTTTCAACTACGAAAGGATAAACCTTATGACTGAAAATGCAATGAGACTGTAATAAGTAGTCAGAGTTGTTTATCAGTTTCACAGTGCTGTTGGTCTACAATGCCTTTAATTGAGTGGCTCCAGATGTGGAACACTAGCATGTGGTCACTTACAAAGTAAGTTTTCTGTTGAAAAACTGGCAAAGCATTAAAAATATATTTGTGTGTGTGCCTGTGTATGTACATACACACACACTGGTTTGCAGTCAAAAGTGTTCTATAAAATGTAAAAATAATTGGCCTGTTTCTGAGGAGATAACAGAAAGTCCTAGTTGTGGTGGTGGTGTTGAAAATCCATCAGTTTATATTGGTACCTAACTTAGGTTCACCACCTGTAGCCAAACCCTTATTTCTTACATCTGTAATTCGTGATGAATCTAAATCACATTTGCATTTTTTCAACCAGTGTCTGATGATGAGCAGCATGTGGATAGGCTTAGATGCAGTTATACAGGTTTGTGACCATACCCTGACAGTTACACGTGTCCTGGAGATAATTTGGAAGGCTGTGATCCTGGCAAGGCTGAAATATTTCTTATGTTCCTGTTTACAATGTGTAGCACACAGACAGGTTGCTGCACTTGGGGGCAGCCCTGACAAAGCCAGGATAGTGTGTTGTCTGTTTTCAGACTATGCCCTGTGGGGCAGTGCCTGTGTATGACAGTGTGAAACAGGCTGATTTAAAGGGGCTGAAAGATGTGCTATGCTGTTTACTCCTCCTGCACCCCCTGCCCCCCTTTTTTTTCCCCTTAAGAGTAGGAAATGGTCTTCGAGAAGTTAAATTGAAATAAGTTGTAGAACAAAATGTCTGCAGGAAAAGACTCAGCATAATGTTAGAATTATACTGGGATGAACTTATTCAGATGAAATGGAACACATTGTGATATGCAAAATGTAGAAATGCCAAATATGTCTTAATGAGCAGAAATACACTTAGATTAAGCATCTGGAGGTGTTTTCACCAGTACAGAGATTTACAAAAACTACCAACCAACCCTAAATTAATTCCTTTTAAACTCCACCAAAGCCCATATTCATATAAATATGCAGACAAAACAATGCATGGAATGATACTGTACATATTTATTTTATTGACTTAGCTTAATAATGTCCCAGGTCTAATTAAAACACAGTGTTTGAATGAACTAATTGTTACAGAAAAGTGTTTTTATATAGCTAGATTAGTAATAACTAACGATAGATGAATTCAATTTACATAAATTTCAGCCAAGAGAATATTTAGACTCATACCACAGAGGATTGCTTGGAGTTGGGTAGTTAATATCATTATCTCCTCCCCTCGTTTAAACAGTTTGGTTTACAATAATTGTGTAACATAATAAGTGATTTCAGCTTTTCCTCTTAATGATGTTTTAATAAAATCTGATAGAGTTTTACTAATACTGGCTGGCTGGTTGTCACAAGGTTGCACACAAATGCGTGCTTAGATCTGCTGAGATAGAGAGCACTGAGGTAACTGCTTCCATTTGTAGGAGAGGATGCTTTTGCACCTAAAAGCTAAAGAAATTACCTGGGATGTTAAGTATAAGTCTGCTGAGATTCTTAACATTGTGTGCATTATCATGCTTCCTAAGCATTTCTATTCTGCTTCTAAAAGATAAAAACAAATGTTTGTTATTGTCCAAACCATAGAGCAATAGGCAGGAGACTGCAAAATATGCTGTGCTGATGGTTGTTCCGTGGTGTTTGCCTGAGTGGCAGCAACTGTGACTTTGTTCACCAAGGCATAACCTGTCATTGAGGCTGTTCTTGCATTGGAGATGCTTGCTTGGTTGGGAGCTACTCTCACTTTGTAGTGACAATACGATGCCAGGGGCATGGAGGAAGGAGAGGACCTAAAGTCCAGAACAGTATGTCCTCACAAACTGCTCTGCACTACTAGACTAGACTAGTCTTGTCTAATCTCTTTCTACCTGTCGTTAATCTCCTTTTTCCTTGAGACAGCGGGCTTGGAAATCTATGAGAATATCCAGCTTGTGATGTGAGTCGGTGTTATCTGATTCTTTGGTGCCTTGAGGTTACGAACAGTAAGTATGAAAGGAACAGCCATCAGTTTGACCTTAAGCAAAGAACTGTAACCAAGATCTAAAGGTCTGTGGTGACAGGAAATCAAGAGGAAAAGAGAGGATTTGGGGGACTTGCTCTGGTGACCATTGCACTCCTGAGCAAACAGCACAAAGGGCAGCTGAAAAATCAAAGTGTTGGTTGAAACTTCCTCCAGTGCTGTCTTGGGTTAGCTTTGCTTTCTCTGTTGAAATACATTAGATGAAATAAGGTATGTGTCCAGCCTACATTAACTCAGTCTGAAGGGAGAAACCCGTTTCAGGTGCCCATCATTTCATTAATCTCCTTTGTCCAAACTAAGTATATGTGGGTTTGTTCTTTTATCTTACTGTCTTTCAGAGAGGATAGAGCTGATTCATATTGTTAAAAAACCTCACTTTTGGAGCTGCCACATGGCTAATCAGATCAAGGCTAGTGTTTTTATTTACCTTGTCTTCCAAATGAAAGCTAAAGCAAGCAGAGAATAGGAATGTTAGCTTCTCACATATACACAAAGCTTAGTCAGTTAATGAAAATGTATGGAATTCTTATCTAGTCTGCTTTAGCAGGCATAATGATTTACACAGCCTGACAGCACTAGTGCAGCAAGTAAATGCATTAGTCATAGTGTCCATTTTTCTTGCAAATTTGTGACACAGATTTAATTATGGGAATGACCAGCAACTTACAAATCTAATTTTGGTAGGCTGAGCCAACTTTTTTATTTTAATAACAATGGATTTTTTAGCAATGATTTCATTACTATTTAAAGAAATCCAACCATATGGAAATAACCAATTGGCTGAATTTATTTACTTTATTTTACCTTAATGGATGTTGAATGGCTTAGGTTTATTTGGTTTTTTTTTTATTATCACTTTTTTATTTTAGATATTTCAAAGATAAATATTCTTATCTGATTTAATTATTTCTAGCACAAACATTGTAAATATTATTCTAAAATCAGGCAAATGTTTGTATACTCCTT